TGGAGATCTTGGCCTTAGATGTTCTTCTATTATCTGGACATTTTCTCCTGCTTTTAGGTCTTACAATTTTCCTACAGAGGCCTATCACAAAAAGGCAAGTTGGAAAAAAAAACAAAAACAAAAAAACCAAAAACACAACAAAACTTAAGAAAAGCAGCACTGAGCTCGGTGCCAAACCTCCGTCCGGCGGCTGACGGCTGCTTCGTGGAGCCGCGAGGCCGCAGGAGTCAGAGTCGGCTTCTGTCCCCGCGTGGCCCGTGCCCAGCTGTGCAGAGCTGTGTCGGGGACCAAGGACTCCGGCCGCGGCTTTGACATCTGTCCAGGGAGGACGTGCGAGCCGGGAGGCGTGGACTTTCTGTGACGATCCGGAGGTCGCGAGCGAAGGTGCTGACGGCCGCCTGGCCGGGAGCCAGCGCTCAAGGACGGGTACCCAGAGCGATCGATGCATCTTCCTTGACGACCTTACAGTCGCTGTCATCGTCATCGTCGTCATCAGGACGGGACTGATGGCCGTGGGGCCACCACACTGGTTTCTGCCTGGATCCAGCCTTCACTCTGCGGAGCTCACGAGGCTGTGACGTGGTGTGTGGGACGAGGGGACAGGGTCCCGTGGACTAGGTGCCCGTCTTGCATGGAGGAGCCTCCTGGCGCCCGTGAGCGTGCGTCCTGCCCGTCCCCAGCCCGCAGACCCCACCGCTAGCCCGAGCCGGAAACTTCCCGTGCAGCTTCGGGTTTCCACCTGCAATAAGCTGCGGTGTGTACGTCGCTCCTGGGGTGCACTGCGGGGATCCTGAAGGCATCGCCTCCCACTCGCGATGGGGGGGCCTTGCACCCGGGGGCGTCCGGCCACAGGGCGAGCAGCGGCGCTGCCGAGTGGACCCATAACGGACTTTGGGGACGTGCCCGGCGAAGACCTGCGGATAGAAGGGGCAGCGAGACGCGAAGGCACCGTCCCTCTCTGTCACCTCTCAAGTTCTCCTCGCGCTGGCGGACAGGCTACCTGAGGAGGACGATCTCGTGCTGCTGGTGGCCTGTGTGGTGTCGCATAACTAATGAGTGTGGAAGCCAAGGCCCTCAGAATGAATGGAGGTGATCTGCCCACATGACACTTGGCGGCATTACAGTGATACTAGGTTTTCTTGCCTCTGCCTTGAAACTCGGCGGTCAGAACAGGGTCCGAAAGAATCTCGAAACAGAGCAAATAAAGAAGATGAAATATAGACTACGCTTGCACTGCTCACAATCCACTTGCACGTGTGTAGCCCGTGCACAGATGGTTCTGTCGCGATGTATTGTATGTGTCTCAGGAGCGAACAGGAGTGCGCCTCGGTGTCCCCGACGCCCTGCGCAGGGTCTCGGGCGGGCTGCACGGTCCTGTCCTGGGCTGTCTCCGAGCCCAGTGAGAGGGGACGGAGTCCCTGGGGCCTGGTTCTGTCGCGATGTATTGTATGTGTCTCAGGAGTGAACAGGAGTGAGGGGACGGAGTCCCTTGGGCACCTCAGGACCCGCTGGACGGTGGGCCTCCTGTGGCCCAGCGTGCCCGGCCCGTGTGACCGAGGCTTCCGGGAAACGGGAGGGAGACGCACGGTACCTTCGGCACATCGGGGACATCCTGCTCGGCCCTGGAAAGGGACGCCGTGATGTTAACGGCCTTCGCCGTGCCGTGGCGTCTTCCGTTAAGGTCGCTTCACAAGCTGGGGTCCCCGGCGCTGGCCCTGGGCGTGGGTTTTTCAGGACGGCCGCGGATCGTCCTCATGCGGCCGCTCAGGAAGCCTCGTTGTCTTGCAGCGGGAGGCGGTGGCGGAGGCGGCGGAGGCGGCGGAGACGGAGACGGAGACCAGAGGCGTGACGGCAAGGACCAGGGTGCGTGGCGCGGGGCCCCGGCCTGCGGGCCGCGCTGTGCAGAGAGGGCGTGCACGGCCGGCCGTGTCCCCGCGTGTGAGGGAGGGACAGCGTGAGACGCTGTGCTGGGAACCGATGATGGCACGGGCCCCGGGGCGCAGAGGGGGCCGGGCTGCG